GGAGCCAGACACATAGCTAATTTTGGAGATCGAAAAGGAGATAAGTGTGTGACAAAGTACAAACAGAATGCTACCTGCACACATGGGATCAGTGTTCTGGTGTGGGATTTGGGATGGTCTGTGGATACGAAGGAGACCTCAGGCTGAGAGAACTGTGGGTAGTAAAAAAACATGGCAGCCAGAAGTGTTCCAGAGAATGGCAAGTGGTCTTCTGTGACTGGGAGGAATGTAGGGTGGGGCCATAAAAAAAGTTAGAGTCAGATATAGAAGACTCTAGGTCTTTCCTTTGAGGAGGGAAGCTGAGCCAGCAGGATTTGGGCATTCATTGGATGTGATGGGTAAGTCTAGTGGGTTGAATAGCGTTTGTCAAAATTCATGTCCACTGGAACTTAAGAATGTGACCTTTTTGGAAATAGGGCCTTTGCTTGTGGCTGTAATTAGTTACGGACCTTGAGAGAACACCCAGAGGAAAGAAGGTGATATGAAGAAACAGGCAGAGCTTGGAGGGATGCAATCACAGACCAAGGAACATCTGGGGCCACCAGAAGCTGGAAGAGGCAGGGAAGGGTTCTCCTTGGAGCCTTCAGAGGGAGCACAACATTGTCCACGCCTTGATTTTAGACTTCTGGCCTCCAGAACTGAGAGGGCGTTAAGACGCACCGCTCATGGCAATTTGTTATGGCAGCCCTAGGAAGCTCGAGAACTGTGCTGGGGAATGTTCAGATTCAGTATGGACTTTACAGTTGGGGTGCCTGTAGGACCCTTGTTGGGGGTGGCCAGTGGGCAGCTGGACATGTGAGAAGAGCGGGTGGGGTTAGAGATGTCAGCTTAGGAGGCAGCTGTGAAAGTGAGGGGCAGGTGAGATCCCCAAGGGGGATCAGAGGATTCCGAGCCAGAAAATAGGGCAGAGGGCAGAACTTAGGGGAACCGGCCATTGAAGGGGTGGAGGAAGGAAGGGAAGGTGAAAAAGGAAGGTGGAGTTCTTGGCTCATACTCAACAGGGTAGAGGCTTCCTTGGGGTGTGGACAGGGAAGTGACGCTGGTTTGAAAATTCTTTGACACTTGGTCATTTCCATGCCCTATTGCTCTGGTTGAGAAAGAGGTGGTGGTGAAAAAGCACAGACGGCAGGCATGGGCTACTCGTTGAACAGTTAGGCTATGGAGACAAGGAGAAATGAGATTAATGATAGACGAAGGAAGGAACATCACTGAGCAAACTTGATACTTGTTTCTTAGGAATATGCCACTTTTCATAATATTTTTCAGGCTACAGGAAGGAAGCCAGGAGAAAATGCAAGTAATCGATGAAACAAGTTTCCAGAGAAGAGACTTACAGATATTTTTTGCTGTGCACCTGCTACGTGCCAGGCACTGTGCTGGGGTTTTACCCGAATGACCTCAATTGATCTTCTCAACATCCCTATAGAGTAGAGAAGGGCGGTCCCTGTTCTGTTGCGGGGAAACTGAGGCTGAGAATGCCAAAATAATTTGCCCGAGCCCATGCATCTCAGATTTGAGCCCTGGTCTGCTGCCCTCTGTGTCTCAGTTCTCGTTACGTGATTTTCCACCAGGATCTGGAAAGCTACGTCTTTAAAGTTTTAGTGACAGAAAGTTTTTAGTGACAGCTCTGAAAATGCCCTAGGCCAGAGGTACTCCTGATTTTTAACTTGCAACACCATACCTCCAGGGCTCTGAGAACCAGCCATCGGACATCCTAAGGTGATTATCAGTCCCAAACCACTGCTGAAGGAGAAGACTCTGACCAGCCTAGAGTTGACCTGTCCCATCCGGGTTTTCCCTGCTGCCTGGCCAAAGCAGGTGCACTCCCAGCCTCTGGCAGGGTTGAGCTTCTGATATGGAAATAACCTAAGTCCTTGACTCAAAAAATAACAGCATCTGCTAATTTGCCTAAGAATTTTGCATTTCATATTTGGGCTTAATACCCAAATGCTAAAATTCATTTGTCTGACCTTAGTTAAGTGGTTGAGGGGTTCAACCGATAAAAACTCCTTGCGAGGTGTTCCACTCTGACGCACCCAGACCTAGCTCCCCACCCGGGACGGCTCTGTTCTCCTGCCATCTGGCACTGTGCACGCACTGCATTGACTCTTGTATGAATTACGGCTTACAAAGGACCAATCTGTTCGCTGGAAGCCTTGATATTTTTAAAAGGGTCTTGGCAGGTGCATCTCCCCGAGTTCACATGTCAAGAGCTCCACCATGGGGGCTCTGAGCTGCTCCGATCCCTCTAGGGTCTCAGTTCGTGCTGAGCACCCCCTCCTCGTACTCCCCAGGGCAGCATGCATGCGGGCAGCAGTTATGGGGTGACGGTTTTGAGAGGAGACAGCAAAGAAGGTGTTCATGAATAATCGCAGAGCTTCATTCTCCATAAAGACAATTACTGGGATTGATTGTTTCTGTGTTTCCTTAGTCACGGTTCAACTTGCTCGTTTCACTTGGATTAAGACAGATGAAGGCCCAACGCACACAGTCAGGTGATGTCAGAATTATCAATGGCACGTCCAAGGCCCCTGCCTTCTTGTACACATGCTGCTAGGGTGCTCAGCTGCGCTGAAACGGGTTTCTGGACTTGGGGGGGATGAAGCACATGGGGCGAAGTATTGTAGACTTCTGAATTGGAGATAACGAACACTCTTTTCTTCCCCTGCATGGGGTAGTGAGGTGGTTTTCCAATGCAACCAAGCATCTACATCCCCTGGAAGGCTTTATTTCACTGATTTTTTTTTTATTTAAAGATTTGTTTATTCATTCATTCATTCATTCATTCATTCATGAGAGACACAGAGAGAGAGAGGCAGAGACACAGAGAGGGAGAAGCAGGCTCCTGGCAGAGAGCCCGATGTGGGACTTGATCCCAGGACTGGGATCACCCCCTGAGCCAAAGGCAGACACTCAAGGCTGAGCCACCCAGGTGTCCCACCCTGGAGGGCTTTTTTTTATTTATTTATTTATTTTTTTAATTTTTATTTATTTATGACAGTCACACAGAGAGAGAGAGGCAGAGACACAGGCAGAGGGAGAAGCAGGCTCCATGCACCGGGAGCCTGACGTGGGATTCGATCCCGGGTCTCCAGGATCGCGCCCTGGGCCAAAGGCAGGCGCTAAACAGCTGCGCCACCCAGGGATCCCCGGAGGGCTTTTTAAATACAGGTGCCTGGGGGCGCCTCGGTGGCTCAGTTGGTTAGGCATCTGCCTTTGGCTCACATCGTGATCCAAGGGGTCTTGGATAGAGCCCTGCCTTGGGCTCCCTTCTCAGTGGGGAGTCTGCTTCTCCCTCTGCCATTCTCCCTGCTTGTGCTCGTTCTCTGTCTATCTCTGTCTCTGTGTGTGAAATAAATAAATAAAATCTTAAAAAAAAAATCACACAGATTCCTGGAGGCCGTGCCTGGGTGGCTCCTTAGTTAAGCGTCTGACTCTTGATTTCAGCTCAGGTCAAGGGTCCTGGGATCAAACCTGTGCTCGGTGGGGAGTCTACCTGAGGATTCTCTCCCTCTGCCTCTCCTCTCTTTCTCTAATAAATAAATAAATTTTAAAACACACACACACACACACACACACACACACACACACACACACACACACACGCCTAGGCCCCTTCCCTAGAGTTTCTGATTCAATGGGTATGGGGTTGGGCCCAAGAATTTGCTTCTAGGATGCTGCTGCTGCTGCTGCTGCAGCTTTGAAGACTCCACTTCGAGAACCGATAGGATAATGATGAAGAGCATGGACACTGGGAGCAAGCCACCAGTCTTGTAATCCCGACACTACTATTTACAAGTTGTATGACCATGAGCCATTTACTTAACCTCTCAGTGCCTCCATTTCCTCATCTTTAAAAGGGATGATAACGATAGTATCTACTACATGGCATGGTTATGAGGAATAAATGAATGAGAACTTGAACGCACTTAGACCAGGGCCTGGTATATATAGAGTACGTGCTCTGGGCGTGTTGGATAAATAAATAAAGGAGCCAGACTCAGGATCGTGAGTATATCAGCTGGAGTCTCATTTCTCTGACACCTGCAGCTCCCAGTGGAGTTGCTGGGTCATTTTACCCATTAGTCTTCAATCACATCTCTTGTGGCCGGGAAAGTTAATGCCCAGCTCGGTGCCGGCAGGAGGGAGGTTGCATCAACATCCATCAAAACCCTCTTCTCAAGCTACCTTAACCCTTAAAATCTCCTGAGTACACAGAACATGGCTTGCTGAGACTGAGACAGTAGGGCAGTGTGCTTTTGGGGTTTCTCCTCCCTGTGCTGACAAAAAGAGGGGCTGCCTTTTACATCAAGCTCAGCTGCAGCCTCATGCTGAGTGCTGTCACTTGATGAATGCTTCCTCTGGGCCTAGAACTTACTTGTTTTACACACATGGTTTTATTTAACTCTCAAAACGTTACTATTAGGCAATAATTATTATCCCTGTTTTACTACTGCCAGGGTTCCGAAAAGTTAAATTGTCTTGACCAAGAAACATAACTGTCAGGTGATAAATTCAAAACTAAAAGCAGGTGTGTCTGACTTCCATAATTTGTTATCCTAATGTTCTACTGCTAAATGCCACCTCCCTAGCTTTATTTATATGAATATTTACATAAAGGTTGAGGCTGAGTCCCCAGATACCCAGCAGTGGCAGCTTCTCCCTCACAGGTAAGCTCCCCAGAATGGGAACTGCCTGTGTCAGGGGTTTGCTTTCCTGAAACCTGTGGTAGGACTCACAGAACGTATTTCTTTTGGAAATGCAACGACTTGCCTTCCATTGCTTGGTTATTCTCTGTGGCCTAACTTCTGGGTGCAATTGTGTCCATGTTGCCAAAGGTGAGTTTTTCTCTGAATTTAGATAGTGACCTAGTACCGTAACACTTCTGATCAGAAATAGTGCTCCCAACATGATGGTCAGGAGAGCATCCAGAGGCTATACTGAGAATGTGAAGGGAGGAAAAATGATAGGCTAACGAAACTTTCCTTTTTTTTCCTTAGTGTTCCTTTCTGCCGAAATTCTCCATTCATATAGAAACCAAGTATGAAGACAATAAAGGAAGCAACGACCGCGTGAGTAGCACCCCCATTCTGTGCTGTGCCCTCATCTCCCCACCCCGGAGCTCTGAGAGCCACAGCACTTTTCATAGCTGCTGGGGTGACCAGGGCCAGCTGCAGGATCGTGCCTGGGATCTCAGAGAAGCTCTGGCATTTGCTCTCTGGAGCCATTTCCCTGGGATTTCTCTCTGGAATTTCTTTGTTGTCTGGCCTTTCTTCCCATCTTTATGTCCTTTCGCCTCTGTGCAAAATCTCTGTGACCTGGAATGATTGTCATTGATGTTTGAGGGGGATGACGGGGACGTTATGCTCCAGGATCTGGTTTCTTATTATTGGATTGGGCATACATCTTCTCAGTGACTGTGGACATTTATGTAGAAAAATGAATACAACCAAATATATGTGTGCATACTGTATATATTTTCTAGACTATGCTTATGTTCACCTATATACACAAATATGCACATATCCCACATTAAAATCAGTCCCCTCCTGCAAAATATTTTTACCTTATGGGACAATCTGACTCTTACTAGTTTTCAGACCCATACTTTAGTATTAGTATTGCGGAGATCCATCTTCTGACCTGGCTTTTACCCCAGCCTCTTTCCACTGGGGCAATGTCATTTTGAATCCCTTCCCGTTAGGAGTGGATGTTTTGACCAGTCAAGAGCCTCACCCTGAGATTGGGCTCTGGGTTCCATTGGGACCTACTGAGGGAAGAGCCTGGATCTAGAAGCTGCAGAGCTTTACTTATTAATTTCGACTTCACTTACAATGTTGTGCATTTGTGAAGAATGCTGAAGATTGAGACTGTGTCAAAACGGTCAAGAGAGCATTTCTTGACAAGATGACCCCTTTTGGGGCCTTCATGGAGCCAAGGGAATGCAAAGCAGGATGCAGGGGGTTGTGGGGGTGCCTAACTGCCATGAGGCAAGGTCTAAGGACTCACAAACATCATCAACTTGAAATCCTTTTTTCAGGTGAGAACAGTCCCTGAGAAGAACTAAGAAACCCTTTAGAAAGTGTTAGCCAGGCCTAACTAACACTATGGTTCTTTGTGTTGACATCTTCTAGAAGTCTTTTCTAAAGATTTAGATCTAGAAGGTGTCTTTGTGGGGAAGACAGGTTGTCCCTTTCAAGGTGGAGTCTGCCTGGACAGAGCTAGAGTGGTTCCCAAGGGGCATCATTCAACTATATTTCACACCAGCTTGGTGTGGGAGGACACTCATTCCTTCACGTGGTATTCAGCAACGGCATATCAAGCACCTTCTCTTCTGAGTATGAGTATGTATGAGTTGCATGCATGGTATTAAAAATGCAGACTCATTTCTCAAACTTTAGGTACTCATAGCTTAGCTGGAGGAAAAATCAACATAATAAATGAAAACATAATCACAATCATGGGCTTCCCTTCCTTCAGTGTAGAGATGCCACTGCTAAACCCTCAGAGTTGGAAAGAGCTTAAAAAGCAGCATTCAATCATGACCCCTTACAGTAGACCCCCTCCCCTTCGCTGTTGGGGGTACATTCCAAGACCTCCAGTGGATGCCTGAAACTGGAGACAATACCAAACCGCATATATACCTGTTTTTTCCTATATGTACATACCCATTATAAATTTTAATTTATAATTGAGGCTCAAATAAGAGTTTTTTTTTTTTAAGATTTTATTTATTCATGAGAACAGAGAGATAGAGAGAGGCAGAGACACAGGCAGAGGGAGAACCAGGCTCCATGCAGGAAGCCCGACTTGGGACTTGATCCCGGGTCTCCAGGATCACGCCCTGGGCGGAAGGCGGTGCTAAACCGCTGAGCCACCCAGGCTGCCCCAAATAAGATTAACAGCAACAATCAAGCAGAACAATCATAACAATATTCTGTAGTAAAAATTATATGCATGTGATCTCTCTCACTCTCTCAAAATATCTTACTGTACTGTATTCACCTTTCTTGTGATGATGTGAGATGATAAAATGCCTACGTGATGAGATGAAGTGTGGTAAATGATGTAAACTTAGTGACGTACCATTGGGCTGCTAGTGACCTTTTGACTTAAGGTCAGAAGGAGGTTCATCCGCGTCCTGACCACAGTTGACCACATGTAACTCAATCTGTGGAAAGCAACGTGTGGATAAGAGAATATTACTGTATTTTCAGGGACTGACTTGGCTTGTGCCTGGTCACTTCAGCTTCTTGAACTAAGCTAAAAAGCCTGGAGTTAGTTTATCAAGGATTGGGAAACTACTTTTTTTTGTAAATAAAGTTTCATTGGAACATAACCACACTCATTTGTATATTATCTAGGCTGCCTTCATACTACAACAGCAGAGTTGTGTATTTGCAACAGAGCTCAACTGGCCCATAAAACCTAAACTATTTACTCTCTGAAAAAAGTTTGCTAACCCCTTATTGGAGAGACTCAAATCAGAACACTGCCTACCAGATCTCAGAATTTGACCCACTGGATAGATCTCACCAGTTGTCCCCACCGAATGCCTTCCAGAATTCCTAGAGGTTTCAAGAGAAGAGAAGGCAAATGGCTGGGGTACTCTCCCCAGGAAGTTCAGGATCCTCTGATGGTTAGTGTCCTTTGATGGTAATTTGATGGTTGGTAATCTCAAGGGAAGAGTTTAGGACCACCATATCCTTGTCAACAGCCTGATAGAAGAGGTGCTTTGGTGGCCAACCACATTAAAACCTCAATGTCTAAAATAATGTTACATCATACTTAGACTTGAACCCTTGTAAAATAATTAGTACAGTTATTAAAACTTGGGAAATGCAAAAGAGCACCCCCAATAAAGAAAGGAAAAACCAATAGTTTTTCTATAATTCAGAGTTTACTGCTGACAGTACTTCATGTTCATGTACTAGATCATAACAAATCTATTTTTTAGCCAATTCCCCCCAAACTGAATCACACAGTATGCTGTTTTTGACATGTCAAAGTATCCTTCCCTGTATGACTTTTAAATGGCTGCACTGTATTTCATACTTACATATACTTCTTTAAACAATTGTTGGACACATGGTATTGAAATGGGCTTGACCCTTTTGACGTTCTGATTTAGCTGAGGACTGTCAGGAAAAGCCTGATACAGAACAGACGTGCCTGAACTGCGTTAACCAGCACAATCGGAAAACATGGCATGGGGAATGTTTTCAAATGTCTTCTAGCCTTTATAAACACAGGTCCTTGCTTTCTCGTCTCTGTGGTTCTGTCCTCATGAGTAGGTAAAACCTGCTCCATTTGTCAAGGTGTGAGGGGATGTACCGGCCCACCATGGTCTTTAGAGGTTGATAGGACCAGCATGACCTTCTAGTTTATTCTCTCTGTGCAATTCAACTAGTCAAGAAAAATGTGCATGGTTGTCATTTTATTATCTCATAGCCCTTTGTGGCAGGTGCTAAGTTCCTTTCACTACTCCTGTAGGACCTTAAAATCCCAGGTTAGACACCTGAAAGTCAGGACCCATGTTTGGGATTAGCATTCTCTGTCTGTGCTCTCTGAGACTTAGTCCAGCCCCACAAGAGAAGTGCTGAGCCCCTGGGCACTTGTATGCAGTGCTTGTCAACACAATTTGCTTCCTCTGGGAGAAATGCCAGCTACTGTCCCCTGTATTGCCTCCTTCTCCCCAGCTTGCTGACTCTGAGACTGCCCGTGGGGGCCTGCACCCTATCTCTCTGTCATGGCACCCAATGTGTCCAAGTTCCCATGCTAGCCCCTGCCTGGCTCCACTCCATGGATCCCCAGGTCTTGCTTCAGAGGCCACTGGGCCAGACGGACCAGCCCTGGCTTGATTAGACTTCTTTGCCAATTTGCCTTCCTCCAATTTCCATATTCAACAGCAGCTGTTGGATCACCCAGCTGCTTCAAGGTTGGGCCTGGGGAGACAGAAAAGGAAAACCTCATTGGTTTTCATTCACATGTCTTAATGTTTCAAAATCAGAACATGGCAAATATATATTTATTGTAATAATACTCACTTTAATTATTAAAAGATAGCTTTATCCAGGAGTTCAGCACCAGAGCCTTAAGCAGATGGCATGTGCCGGCATGCTCTTTTTCTGTCCAGGGAGTAGTGTAGAGTTGTCGGTGGGAGGCAGAGTTGCTAGAGAAAATAGTGCAGTAGTGGGTATTTCTCTAGTGTCTCTGCTTTGCCAAATTATTTAATAAACTCAGCTTATTTCTTTGCATTTTCTGGGTGTATCATCTTATCATTCAGCTAGCATCCTTCATACTGTTATCTGCACCCTGTTTCTTCCCCTACCTGCCAAAAACTTAATGAAATTTGATGACGGACGATAAGAAGCAATAATTAAATTGAAAGACGCTAGTGATAATCATATTGATTAGTGATTGAATAGAGTACATGTTGTTATCCCATTATCAACTACCATACAAGTAATTTTTTTTACATGACCCAATATCTAGTAAAAAAAAATAGTGGGATGACTAGCTATAAATATCTTCTTGTTAAAATAAAACTCATATATTTATGATTGTGAAAACCTGTGAGTTGTGATTACAACAACCAGGACACAGTGGGAAGGTTGTCTTAAATCGAAGCCCATTTATTCTATGCACATAATAATGAGAATTATTTAGGTTTTAATTAGTGCTGGGGAGGATGGCACCAGGCCAAAGTAGGGTTCTGTTGTTTGTCCAAGGCCATGACTCTAGATCTGGGAGAGAAGGTGCCTCGCAGATGTGTGACAGCTGCTGCTGGGTTACTGTGGCTCAGTGGGGTTAAAGGGAGCGACTTGCCTTTATTTCCTCTTCCAAACAAAGTCAGTACCATTGAGAGCAGTGGCTCTCAACCTTGGCTGCACATTGGACTTAAACCTGAGGGATTTTCACAACCGCTCATAGCTGAGTTCCATCCTCTGAGATTCTGATTTAATTGGTCCTGGGTGCAGACTGGTCTAAATCAGCCAGCCAGAACATAAGAAGACTAGAACGTTTTGCTTCTAAGAATGCCAAATTCTCCAATTAGGAGTGTCTGCAATTT